CAGAACATTTTCAATTAAGTAGATGCCATTTCCTGTATTCTATCAAAAAAGGGCCCAACATAAAGGTCATTGCAACAGTAATGTTTTTACTAGGGATGGGCAGCACAAGCAAAAACACTATTCGAAAATCGTGGCAACTATTTGACAATTTTTCGAATACATCCGCAAGCCCTGTGCATGCAAAGCTCCTCGCACCAGTGACTGCTCGGCATGTATTTTTCACATCGCGGGGATTTTTCCCGGACATTTTTACAGGAAACTACAACGCAGAAGTGCGCTCAACTATGAAAGCCCGAATGACTGCGGACATTCCTCGCGGAGTAGTAGTCTCTGCATGTTTCTCCTGTTTGTAGAAGAGCATCAAACTAGCTGGTAGCCCATCTCACACCACTGTAGCAATCCTATACTGCCCTCGTGCAGTTAGGAGCTGAATTGCACGTCAGATAAAGAGAGGAAATAAGACGGCGAATAGTAATCGCATTTAAAAATCGATTTTTCAAAAATAAAATGACTATTCGAAAATCGTGACCCATCCCTAGTTTTTACCACCCAAGAGGGCAGTTTATCATGTTTTAACCAGCCAAGAGGGCAGTTTAGTGTGTTTTTCCACCCAAGAAGGCAGTTTAGTGTGTTTTGCCAACCAGGAGAGCACTTTAGCATGCATTTTTACTACCCAAGAGGGCAGTTTATCATGTTTTAACCAGCCAAGAGGGCAGTTTAGTGTGTTTTTTGGCTCCAAAGAGGGCACTTTAGCACACGTTTTGGCTCCCAGGAGGGCACTTTGGCTGCCAAGAGGGCACTTTAGCGTGCGTTTTGGCTCCCAGACCCTGCCCCCCTGTGCACACCACTGCTGTCTGAGGACAAGAGGTCATGAATTTTCCCTCAAATAGTTAGAATTTTGTCATTAAATAAGCTCATAAAATAATTACTGCTAAGGGCTAAAGGAATACAAGGCTCAATAGAGCTGTGACTTTCTGTCAGCCTGGCTACAGTGCTGAAAAGAAACCTGGGGTTCTTATTTTCCTTGATTAATGATGAGTAATAGTTTGCTCTGGCATTGCGGAGGGCCCTCCTATATGTTTTGAGACTGTCTTCCCAGACCAAACGAGATTCTTCCAGTTTGGTTAATCGCCAGTTCCTTTCATTTTTTTGCAATATTTGTTTTAATTTTTGGGTTTGGGAGTTATACCAAGGAGCGAACTTTCTTTGCTTCGTTAACTTCTTTTTAAGAGGTGCCACTGAGTCGAGTGTTGTTCACAGCGAGTCTGCAGCGCTATCGACAAGATAATCAATTTGGGAGAGGTTAAAGTCGGTACAGGAAACCTCTGTTACTGAGGGACATGGTATTAAATTTAAAGCCGGTGGAATCATTTCCTTAAATTTTGCTACAGCACTATCTGGTAAACACCTAGTATAGTAACTGTTGCTGAGTGGTGTGTAATCAAGTAGAAAGAAATCAAAAGTTATTAAATAGTGATCTGATAGAGAGGGATTCTGTGGAAAGATTGTGTTTATGTCCAATAATCTGATAAACGCAGTTGTGAGGGAGTCATCATCAGCGTCAACACAAATATTGAAATCGCTGACAATAATAACTTTATCTGATTTAAGAACTAAACTGGATAAAAACTCTGAAAAAATCAGAATATGGGCCAGGAGCACGATACACTATAACAAAAAGAAGTGGCTGTGAGGTTTTCCAGGTTGGATGTAAAAGACTAAGGACGAGGCTTTCAAATGAATTATAATCTAGTTTAGGTTTAGGGCTGATTGGTAGACTGGAGTTAACAATGGCTGCAACTCCCCCTCCTTGACCGCTGCCTCGAGGAATTTGGGTATAACTATGACTGGGAGGAGTGGATAAGATAAGAGATAAGATAAGATACTCCTTTATTGATCCCAGAATTGAGAAATTCCAGTGTTACAGCAGTCAAGGGGAAAGAGTCAGATTAAAGATTTTAACATTTAAAAACTTAAAAAACTAGGCATGCAGAAAAAGTACAAAAAATACAAGAAACAGTAATAATAATAATAATAATAATAATAATAATGATGAGCAGTGTATAAAAAGTGAGCAATGGATTAAAGTGAACATATTTAGTGCAAAGTGAATATTGTATGTGCAAATAAACAACATGGGGGACAGCAATGCTTATTGTGGTGTTTATAAAGTGTCCATAGTGTCCCTAAAGTGTCCATGGTGCAGTTTACTGTGAGCAGTGCTGGTTGTGAAGCCTGACAGCAGCAGGCAGGAAGGACCTGCGATAGCGTTCCTTCACACACTTTGGGTGAATCAGTCTATCGCTGAAGGAGCTCTCCAGAGCTTTTATCTCCTCCTGCAGAGGATGGGAGTCATTAGTCCTCAGAGATGACAACTTGGCTGTCATCCTCCTTTCTCCCACCACCTGCACAGAGTCCAGAGAGCATCCCAGGACAGAGCTGGCCTTCTTGATCAGGTTGTCCAGTCTCTTCCTATCTGCAGCCGAGACGCTGCTGCCCCAGCAGACCACTCCGTAAAAGATTGCTGATGCCACCACAGTGTCAAAGAAGGTCTTCAGGAGCGCCCCCTGCACTCCAAAAGACCAAAAGAGCCGCCTCAGGAGTTAAGTCTGCTTTGGCCTTTCCTGTATAGTGCTGTTATGTGATCAGTCCAGTCCAGTTTATTGTTAAGATGAACACCCAGGTACTTATAAGATGTCACCATCTCAATGTCCTTTCCCTGGATGTTCACCGGTGTTGGGGGGAGGAGTCTGCGCCTGCGGAAATCCACCACCAGCTCTTTGGTTTTCCCCGCGTTGATCTGAAGGTGGTTCCTCAGGCACCAGTCCACAAAGTCCTGGTTCAGTTCTCTGTTCTCCCTGTCGTCCCCATCTGTGATGAGGCCGACTATGGCGGAGAACTTCTGCAGATGACAGGTGGTGGTGTGGTATGAAAAGTCTACAGTGTAGAGGGTGAAGAGGAACGGTGCCAGCACCGTCCCCTGCAGGGCCCCCGTACTGCAGACAACCAAGTCCGATACACAATCCTGGGATCCAGGATGTGAGGTGATTAGCCACCCCTCTGTGCTCCAGTTTGTCCCTCAGAAGCGCAGGCTGTATGGTGTTGAAAGCGCTGGAGAAGTCAAAGAACATGATTCTCACAGAGCTTCCGGGCTTCTCCAGGTGAGAAAGAGCCTTATGCAGGAAGAAGGCTGGTAGGCAAACTGCAGCGGGTCCATTGAAGGGCCTACTGCTGGGCGGAGACGAGACAGGACCAGGCACTCCAGAGTCTTCATGAGGTGTGATGTTAATGCCACCGGTCTGAAGCTGCTGAAGTCCTTGGGGTGCGGAGTCTTGGGCACAGGTACCATGCAGGATGTCTTCCACAGCTGTGGTACTCTCCCCAGCCTCACGCTCAGGTTGAAGATGGTTTCAACTATCCCACACAGTTGGTCTGCGCAGGACTTCAGGAGCCTGGAGCTGATGCCGTCTGGACCCGCAGCCTTCCTCGTCTTTATCCTCCTCAGCTGATCTCTCACCTGACAGGTAGTGAAGGACAAGCTGGAGCAGGGGGGCTGTGTGCTGGGGGGTGGAGGTGATGAGGTGGGGAGAAGAGTGGGGGTGGTGAGATGTCCGGGGGAGCGGGGGTGGGGGAGGTGTCTAAGCAGTGTGCCAGGAGTGTAGGTGGGGGGGAAAGTGAAGGTGAGGATGAGGGGGGTTGCAGCCGTGATGTCTGGGCCAGGGGAGGGGCAGACTGATCAAATCAATTGAAGAACAGATTCAGATCATTCACCCACTGCTGGTCGCCTCTGGCCTGGGAGTCCGGTTGTTTGTGTCCTGAGATGGTATTCAGACCTCTCCAGACTCCGCTGACATCACTCTGCTGCAGCTGTTCCTCCATCTTCCTTTAATATCCTTCCTTTCCCAGAGTGATGTTTCTCCGTAGCTCCTTCTACATGGCCTTCAGATCCTCCTTAATTCCAGAGTTAAAAGCTCTCCGCTTCTCCTTCAGGAGAGCTTTTATATCTGGAGTAATCCAGGGTTTGGTGTTGGAGAAGCAGCGTACAGTCCTGGTGGGTACGGTGCTTTCCACACAGAAGTTAATATAATCCGTAATGCATGGTGTCAGTCTGTCAGTGTCCTCCCCATGGGAATTGCTAAGTACCTCCCACACAGTGGTCTCGAAGCAGTCCTTCAGGGCCACAGGAGAGGAGCCTGATAGCTGAAGGATGATCTACATTTGGAGACTTTAAGGACCATGAGTAACCCCGCATTCTCAGAGCGCAGTGTTCTGGTGGGATAATAGGGCACTATGAGCTCTCTAAGATATGACGGAGCCTGACCATTTTATTGTTTGATTTTTTGGTTTTTATCATTCTTGGAGGCCTGCTGAAGTGTATATCTATCTATGTATTTTTCATAATGGGGTGGCATTGGTGGTGTTTTTTATTTACCGTGGCATTTGTTTCATAGTTCCTGAAAGCAGATGCTCATCCTACAACATAAAAGACTTTGACATGTTTTGTTTGTGGACATAGGTCTAATTCACCCATTCATTTATTTTTCACCTTTTATTTTGTTTTGTATAGTTTGTGAAAACCAATACCACTCAGGATTTTGTTTGGGCCTGCAGAAAAGTATTGAGTCACATATTGGTAAGAAAGAAAACCAGAGTTTGCCAAATTAGTTTGAATTACTCAGGATGCAGACCTCTGACTCACTTTACAAAGTGCCTCATTAGCCGATACTGCAGTCTACAGCAGACATAAAGACAGAAAAACCGCTGATATATGTCTCTTGACAAATTATCAGTAAGTATATTCCTTTGTAAATTATTCTGTAGCTCAAACAATCCGTAAAAATTTTAATATTACAATAAGGGTTTTGGGACACACGCACCCTGTTGTTTGTGTAAGACATCATGATGTAATTGTTGTGTGTTTGCCATAGTTTCCATTCACGTAATATGTTCTAAACGAGAAGGACTAATTAAATGTGTGTAATCTGTTCTCTCTGTTGTAGTTGATTAGTCGTAAAGACAAGGCGACATTTGAGAAACTTAACTATCTGACATCCAAGGAAGAGAACTACACCCGCATGAGAGAATACATCCGCTCTCTGAAGATGGTGCCCTGTATTCCTTACCTTGGTAAGTCCTCCATCTGTGCCTCAATATCTTTTCAACACACCCTGCTTTTAATCCTCTTCAAGCCAGTGCTTTCCAAGCCCCTGAACACCTTAAGCAACATTCTCGTTGTGATTCTACATTGCAGCATCACAGAGACATTCTCATTGGGATTTCACTTTGAAGATGTGTTGAACTTTGTTATAGGCTTGGAGTGTTCAGCTGCATGGTCCATGATGTTAATCTAGGTGTTGTTGAACGCCTTTAACAGTTGCCCAAATACCCTGAGAGAAGCATATTTCTTTCTGTTCAATTTATTGCTTCATGCAACATGTTATTATATAATTTTATAATGTAGACTTGTGTTGATTTTTACCATTACATTTGAAACAAAGCAGCACAGTGCCCTTTAATATGCAGAACCACAAGTGTTACGGAAATGGTGATATACCATTTTATTAATTCTGACTTTACCATAAAAATGGGCATAAATGCACTTGTTTACAATTTATTTTTAATCATAAATAAATAGAATAAATTAATGTATTGTACTCAGGCAATTTATTGTGTGATCATTTAATGGGCAACAAAAAGAATCATAAAAAACTAATTAATTTACATATAAATGATGGCATTCAAAAATCTGTTGCAGATTCAAAAGAGAAATTACTGGATTCACACACTGAATTAAGAATACAGATTTGAATCAGGCACTTAAAAGCACAATTTCCTTTCTTATTTGCAAGTCCAGTCCCCTGTTTTTCCTTTTCATATATGCTATTTAAATTGAATAATTTCTTCATTTGGACTTTTCATGATTCTTTGGGCCTTGTGCTGGTAAAATGAAGTAAAACACTGTAAATTAGACATAGGATGTAACAAACTTTCTGATTGGCTATCACCTGGCAAATGTGGGAAGAAGAGCGTGTCAAAACTGAAGCTCAGGATGGATTGATACCGGCTCTCTGTGACCTAATTTTAAGGCCCTGATAACACAGGACACATTTTTAGCAGCTGGGGCGCTTTTTTGTCATTGATTTTAATGAAGATGAAGCTTTTTGCTTGTGGTTTTTGCATTGTGATGCGCCTCATTCTTCTGCGCTCCAAGTGCCTAGCATTTTTGCCCGTAGCGCTCTGAACGCCTCGAGTTGAAAAAACGTAAACTCCGAGCGGAAAAACGGCTCACATGATCTCTCCCTTTTCCCCATTGTCCAATTGGATGATTCGAGAGGCGGGCCTTCTGTGGTGGTTATGACAACAAGTTTACAGCTGGCAAACAATGGAAGAGAAACTGGTGGTAGCCGTTGCTGGACACCCAGAGCTTTACGACTTTACAAACTGCAGTAACCATGATCTCAACAGAAAACAGCAAACATGGAAGCACATGGAAGTGCAGTACTTGAAATTTTGGGTAAGTAGTTTTCATACATAGACTTCATTAACAAATTACATAACAGTTGGGTTGCATGCAGTTGATAGCTATGTGCTACGTGAATGTTAGTTCACTTTTAATGTATCCCTCGACAAGCTGTAGGACATATGGCCAAAGCATAAAACCTCCTATCTGCAAAATGATCCAGGGAAAGTGGGGGAAAAACTTCTATCTTCACTTTGCAAGGCACTAATACCTAGTTGGTATTGTCAACACATAATATAGTAATATAGTCCCAAAACAGTGTATTATCTATTGGATATCCTTAACAAATAGCATTCTGCAAGAAACAAGTTTTCTCAAAAAAGTGCATTTTTCACATAGGAGGTGTTACTCTTCGGCCATCACTAGCTATCAGCTAGCTAGCTTCTTTTTTCTTTTCTTTTCTTTTTCTTTTTTTTTTTTTTTTTTACCTTGTTTCGTTAGAGGAGGAGTGCAGATGGAAATGGAAATATCTGAGAGACAAGTATTTGAAAGAAAAGAGGGCAGAGAAAGAAAAAGGGAGTGGAGCAGAAGGGGGCAGCCAGAAAAGGTGGAATTTTATGGCTATTATATCATTCCTTGAGCCACACATTAAGGAGAGACCAACAACCTCCAACTTCTCATTTGATCTAGGCAGCCAGGATTGTACTGTTGAGTCTCTCCTACTCCCTATGGTGTCACAAGTTGAGGTAGGTGAAGCAATTCTCAGGGACCTGTTAGGAAGTCTGGTAGTGAGGTCAAAGTCAGAAGGGTCCTTTATACATCAATCATTTTGGCTGTGTGAACACAGATGTAAATTTGTTTCGCTTCCATCCTATTTTGGTGTGTTACAGCTACATCAGTAGGGTAGTATGCACTATACCACCACTGATGTGCTTAATTTCAGCTGGGTTTATTCTGTGATGACATGTCAAAATGCCTATTTTGAAAAGGGACTGTGACTTTCTGCAGTGTTTTTACACTTGTTTGCATTATTCTGTCAGGAAGATGACCTTCTTGTTGAGAGTTTGGAGCCATCTCCTGCATGCCCTACAACATCAGCCACCAGGGTCTGAGGTGCTCCACAAGCCAGCACATCATCCACCTGGTGCACCCAAGGCTGTAAGGATACCAAAGAGAACTCCTGGCAGCTGTCAACAAACCTCTTGATGAGGATGAACATTTTTTATGAGCTTGAACCCTGCTTTAAAACGCTTGCCACCAAGGAAGAGCACTGAAATTTAGTTAAAATTAATGCAGATCCTAATTGAAACAAAGTTTGGTGATGAATAGATGAAGAGTTGCTTTTTTGGTTAAGCCTTTTGGCACGAAACTGTCACTGCGCCAAGCTGGATCTGTCGACACCTCCCCCTGCTGCGCCGCCACACCCATCTCAGCGCACCTGGGTCTGCCAAACTACCAAACTGAGCACGCCTCGGGTTGCGCTGCTCGAAACTAGCTCTGCACGGGGTTCGCCACCCTGCGCTGCGCCGGGAAACTAGAGCCCTTAATCTCCTCTAGAGTAAGCTCAGGATCTAGAGTCTGCACTTCCCTGGTGTCTAATGTGGGAAGCTTGCAGTTTGCTAGAAACTTGTTAATACTGTCTGAGTCAACAGTACATTTAGATTTGTATAATTCTTGGTAGAATCTGGGGATGTTTTCAATTTGCCATTTTTATCTCTGACTTTGTTAATGGCACGGGAGGCTTGTATCTTAGCTGTCCGGCCAACAGGCTGTGTGGCTTATCTCCAAACCCAAAATATTTTTGTTGTGTGTTGTAGAGAATAGAGCCAACACATTTTGTTAGGATGGTATTGTGTTCAAATTTCATTTTGGTAATTGCCTCCAAAGTTGCGTCAGAAGGATTTGCTTTATATAAGGTTTTGAGTTTTGCAATATCCATAATCAGTTCTTTAGGATGACTGTCATCTGTTTTCTTTTTGTTGGCTGCAAATTAGATTATGTAACTCCTCATAACTACCTTCAGAGATTCCCATAAGATCGAATCATTGACATTGCCAGTATCATTTTCAGAAAGGGAATGCATAATGTGTTTGTCCAGGTGTTTTTTAAACTTCGCATCTTGTAACAGCATTGCGTCAAAATGCCATTGTCTATCTTCGCCTAACTTTATCATCATGGATAGTTGGGCGTGGTCAGATATCAGAATAGAGTGGTACATTATTTTATCAACTACCGAAATCAGTTTTGAATCAAGGAGAAAGTTATCTATACAAGAGTACATTTTGTGAGCTGGACAGAAAAATGAATAATCCCTGTCTGTTGGATGACAAAGCCTCCATATATGTTTTTAGGTGAATGCTAGAGTTTGATTGTTGAAGCATTTTTGTAAATTGTTTATCTAAGAGAGGATCAATTGTTTAAAGTCTGCACCAATCATAATATTGTCTGAAAAGTTTGGTATGGCATTGAAAACCTTTTGGAAAAAAAAAAGGGATCATCAAAGTTGGGGCTATATAGATTCACAAGTGTAATTGGTACGGAGTTCAAAGAGCCAGATACAATAAGAAACCTCCCTTCAGGATCAGATATTGTAGATGAGTGAATAAAGGGGATATTTTTCCTTAACATTATTGCCACACCCCTTGTTTTTGCATTGAAGTTAGACTGGTAAATCTGTTCGATCCAGCTGACCTTTAGTTTATCCTTTAATAGGTGTTTCACATGCATTTCTTGTAGAAACAGTATATCTGCTGACAGAGCTTTAAATGTGAGAAAACTTTTGCATGTTTCATTTAATGGTCCAAACATTCCAGCTCACCATTTTGTACCCTATCAATGAATACAGATAAAGTAACAGATTGTCTGAATGTACAACATTCTGCCCAACATGAAGCCTGCAGGTGCAGTCTAGTGACTACTGTGGAGACTCATGGTGTGCGGCGAAGAAAAGTTAAGCGTCATCTGGGTTGGTAAATGTGTGTGATGTGCCATCCACCATCATCCTAAAGCGAGCTGGATGCAGAAAGCCATTGCAAATTCTAGACGTTTTATATCTTTCCTTGGCGGTGTTGAATTGTTTACATTGGTCCATGGTCTCTTGGGTCAGGTCTTGAAAAAAGGGGATCTTTTTGTTGTTGTAGTAGATGGGATGATTCTTGCGGGCCAGCCTCAAGACGAGGTCCTGATATTGTGGGTAGTGTAGCCTGGCGATGAGAGTTCTCGAAGGGACACCGTTGGCATGTCTGGCGGCAAGAGACCGCACAGTCAACTATACACTCCATGCTAAAGTGTTCCCTTCCCAGTAGAGACTGTATCAGCTCTGTAATAAACTCTGTAGTAGAGCCCTGTGCAGGACTGTTTTCTTCATCCCGCTCCTGCCCGCTCCAGCTGAATTTCTGACCATTACTGCCCACAACTGCAACATATGTGTTACACTCCTGCCCACTCCCACAATGTGTATGTCCACTCCCACCCGCTCCCACAAAACTCTGAGAATTTATGCCCGCACAATAATAGAGATGCATTGATTTTGTGTCTTCTCCCGTCCCACAGGAGAAAACAGTCATTTTATAGTTATCTATTAATAAAGAGATTCATGGGGTTGTTTGTTTCGTTTCCCAGGCCTGCATGTCTTTTGACGCACTGGTCAGGAATAGTGCTCCTATTTCTTTGTTTTCATTTAGTTTTTAATGATATAAAGGCTGTTTCATATTCTATTCTCCTCCTCTGTATTTTATTTATTTTTCTACCTTTATATAATCACGCAGTGATTGAGGTTAAGGTCTCTTTTCTAAGAGAGAACTGAATAAGAAACATTGCTGGGAAGTAGAGGGCTCAGTGCGCCTTCAGACCTTGTTTGAGCTTCTTTTCCACAACATTTGTTAACTCCATTCTGTCGCTATAGACTATATCCCAATCCCGCAGTGTTTTTTTTAGCCGCCCATTCCCGCCCGCAGCAAAGTTCAAACCGCCCACTCCCGCAAGATTTGGGTAGGGTCTCGCGGGACCCAATCCCAGTGCAGCCCTCTACTCTGTAGTTCGCCCTCTCTTGACACCCTCGGGAATCCCGACAATTCGGATGTTGTGTAATCTGGATCTGGATTAGGATCTAGGTCTTCTAGTTTGGGTTTCAGGTGTTTATCTTCGGACTTAAGGGAGCTACAGCAGAACTCATCTAGCCGGGTGTCGTGGTTGTTAACACCAGTTTCAAGTGACAGGACACATTCTCTGGTCTCTGTAACATCTGACTTAAGATTTTGAATTTGAGATGAAAGACTGAAAACTTTGCTTCTAGTTTTTTTGTCTAAGTTTGTGATGGCAAGAAGCAGGTCTGATGGTGAAGATTCCTTTGATAGTGCTGTGGAGCCAGCCCCCATTGTTGCAAAACTTGCCTCGTGGATTTTCGCAAGCGAGTCAGTCCTTTCCTTGCTCAAACACACATCCAGTGTTGTTTCTTTCAGTGCAGTTTTGTCATTCTTCTTGGGGGCAGCAGACCCTACACTGTAGCCTATGCACATGGCCCACGCTGTTGTAAGCATTTATACTTGTGCAGTGTTGTGTCTGTGTCAGCCTGCAGTTACACCTCCAAAACACTAGTCGACGGCGGGGTTCCTGTGAAGTGCTGTTAAATTTAGTTGATTCGGAACACACCCAAAACCAACTTTAATCATTTTACATTGTATAAATTAGCCTTGCAATGAGCAGAGATTTCCTCTGCCTATATGAAGCCGAGGTAAATCCCAAAGTATAAATCCTCTGTAAAATTTAAGTAAATAAAAGCTGAGGGAAATGGTTTCAGCTTACATTTCTGGGGAGATGCATGTCAGACTGTGGCATAGGGTAAGGCGTAGGGTCTATGTCGATGGAGCTCATGATATCACAGTACTCCCTCATCTCTGTTAATTGGACCTGTGATTGTAGTCTAAATGTGTGAAGGGCTCGAGGGCTTTGATTTTGGGTGATTGGAGTGATGGAATTGTTGAGGTTACCTACCTGAGAAAGAAGGAGGAGGCTGGAGGAATTTCTTAGTGTTTCAGGTATTAAATGTATCATTAAAGAATAGAACTGATTGAAATGAGATCACTGGAAACAGTCATACATAGTTTATTGCAAGATTGACAACATATAGACTATAAAAATTAATTATTTAAAAAAATTAATTAAAAATTAATTACAATTAATTAAAAATTAATTTACACACAGAATATCTGGTAGTATCTGCACACTAATATAGCCTAGTAATTGCTCCTTTCAACAGACCAGAAAATCTTTTGAGGGTGGAGGGAATAACTGAGTTGTCCACACTGAACTGCTGGTTACTGTTTGAATATAGAGAAGCTGCTTTAACCTGGAAATCCTGCAATAATGGTCTATTTGTGAAAAGTATTTTTGTGAATCCTGTCTACATTTAAAGGCTTTAATCTATTTCACAATATCCATGTGTGGTGGATCTTGTTACCTTGGTGCTGGTAACTTTGAAGAATAGTTGAAGGAGTACACAGCTGAGTCAGGATATGGTTAAATAGCTCTGCATACAGACTGGAAATCAGGGAAACAGCTAACCTGGTTCTGCCCAGAGTTTAAAAAAATACACCTACCAGCACCTCTAAACCTCACTGAACTATTATCAAACCCAAATATTGGATGACATTAAGAGACAAAGGACTTGACAAGTAGAATATCCTGACAAATTAGACAGATTTACTGCAATCTTTTAGGAAATTGTTACAAAAATAAATAACCAGTTTATGTTCTGTAGAACGGGCGGCACGGTGGTGTGGTGGTTAGCACTGTCTCCTCACAGCAAGAGGGTTGCCGGTTCAATCCCGGGTGTGGGAGCCCTTCTGTGCGGGGTTTGCATGTTCTCCCCGTGTCAGCGTGGGTTCTCTCCGGGCACTCCAGCTTCCTCCCACAGTCCAAAGACATGCAGATTGGGGACTAGGTTAATTGATAACTCTAAATTGTCCGTAGGTGTGAATGTGAGTGTGAATGGTTGTTTGTCTCTATGTGTCAGCCCTGTGATAGTCTGGAAACCTGTCCAGGGTGAACCCTGCCTCTCGCATGATGTCAGCTGGGATAGGCTCCAGCCCCCCCCCGCGACCCTTAAGAGGATGAAGCAGTTAGAAGATGAATGAATGAATGAATGTTCTGTAGAATGTAGTGTAAAAATTAATCCCTAATCCAGTAAAAGTGTTATAATACATAAATTGATCAAGAAACAAAGCCTTATAACCATCATGTAATCATGTTTTATGCATAAGTTCTTATAAAACTGATTGAAATGCATCTATATGTGTTAAAGCATTGTTATACATGTTAAGGTATTCATAAATTAGAGTTATGAGTTAACATTGTAGTCACGCCACAGAACATACACATAACCTATTATGCTCTGTATAATGATAGCACACACACATTCAAATGTTTGTACTACCAGATGCACATTTCACAAGGGACTGCATAAAGAAAGTCCCCAAGATTCACATGTTTTTTAAAAATAAAGTGAAAGCAAATCTGAAGGTAAGGGTGGAGAGTTTGGGAACTTCCAGGCTCAAATCGAAAGCAATACACCATTAAAAACGGGCCTGTTCACAATTGGACAAAAAGAAAAAGGTTGCCACCAATAGCTTTACATTGAAGAGGGATGGATTAGCAGAAGAAGGTGGAGACTAAAGAGAGTCTCCACCTTCTTCTGCTAATCCATCCAGCATAAAAGCAGACGCACTGAAAGTGATTTCAGTCCTGCTCCGGAGTGTGACTCGATGAGTTGTATGTGTTAAAGCTTGTGAACACATTAAACTCAATTGCATCAGATTCTGCCTGTCTCCAGTGTTTCTTTGAGTATTACTTAGCTGAATCCAAGGTACCAGATTGACGAAGTCAAGTGGAGGACAAGGTTGGGAGCCTACAGGCCCACTTCCAGGCGCCGATTTTTACCTCTACAAGAACTGATCCTTCTATATATCATACTTACAGAATATAATATAAGCACTAGTAATTATCTGAAGTGCCAGTTTTTTGCCAGCAGACATTTTTGATTTTTGGATATACACCGATCAGCCAAAACATTAAAACAACAGACAGGTGAAGTGAATGACTGATTATGTTATTCCAATGCATTGTTCTGCTGGGAAACCCTGGCTTCTGGCATTCATGTGGATACCACCTGACATGTTCCACCCACTCAAACACCGCTGCAGACCAATTACCCCTCCTCATGGCAACAGTACTCCCCAATGGCAATGTCCTCCCAGCAGAAAAAAAGCAGCACACTGGGGGGGCAGAACAATGCATTGGAACAAAATAGTCAAAGTTATTCACTTCACCTGTCATTGGTTTTATTTTCTGGCTGATTGGTGTAAATTTCTTTGTCTTTGCAATGTGATTTCATTCAGCACATAACAGATAAAGAAATTCTTTTGTAAATTTTATATTGTATTGTATGTAGAAGTCTTTGATATGCACATCATCAAAATCAGGTTATCAACAAAATCTCCAAAAGCCCACACAGGGCAGAACACGTGAGATATTACATTCACTTAATGTATGTTTGTCTGTGCTTTTGTTGATTTGTGTGCAATGTTGATTTGACCCATAACTTTACCCTCAACATCGACGGCTCCGCAGTATCCACCTCCCCTCACATCCGAAATCTTGGCGTTATTCTCGATCAATCCCTCTCCTTCGACCAGCACATTAAACACATAGCCAAAACAGCCATCTTTCACCTCAAGAGTATCGCCCGCCTCCATCTATCCCTTTCCTCCTCAGCTGCAGAAACCCTCATCCACGCCTTCATCACCTTCTGTCTGGACTACTGCAACAGTCTACTCTATGGCTCATCTTCAAAAACCCTCAATAAGCTCCAGTATATGCAGAACTCTGCTGCTCGGCTACTCACCCACTCTCTCACCCATGACCTCCTCACCCCCATTCTCCATAAGCTCCACTGGCTCCCCATCCCCCAGAGAATCCACTTAAAAATCCTCCTCATAACATACAAAGCCCTCAATAACCAGGCCCCACCCTACCTGTCTGAGTTCCTCCATCATCACGCTCCCACCTGCACACTCCGCTCTGCTGATGCCAACCTCCTGTCCCACCCCACCCGGACCAAGCATAAATCCTGGGGGACATAATGTATCATTATTATTATTATTAATAATAATAAAAAAAGCAAAAATCTATGCCTGTAGGATGAATAAAATAACAAAATGCTGCACAGCTCCTATTGCATTACAGCATGAGCCTTTGCAATTTCAAGCTATATTATCAGCATAAATCAACCAATAGCAAAAACAAACAAAACAAAAACTAAAAACAAAGACTGACATTTAAAATTAAGAATTCATACTTTTTGGAATAAAGAAATGGAAACCCCTGTGAGATTTTTTTTTTAAGTGTTAATGGAAGGTGTTGGCATTGGGTCGTATCATCATGGTCACTTTCTTCAGAGAATAAGCTCCTCCTCTGAACTCGGCCCAGTATACCCCATCCTGGTTACGGCTGCGGTAATGCCCATTGCGGTACCACACACCATTAAGGTTGGAATGAGCACAGGCGTTATACCACCACCCTCCCTTCTGGTAGTGTGCGCAGTTACCTGGAGACACAAGAAATCAAATCAGAACTACTAGTATACCAGCTCTGATATTCTCTCGTTCAAAACATTAAATCTGGATCAGGATGAGTCTCATGTTTTGCTTTCTAGGATCAGATAATCCATCTTACTTTTATGCTAGTTTATCAAAGTAACATTCAGTTAGATCACCTTGTTTCAGATAGACTTTTCAAGATTACCAGATACGAATAACCAGTGCTCTAAAATGGGCTACACATCACAATGGACACGTGCTACGTAAAAAAAAACAGGTACAATAGCCAGCATGGCCTCACTTAAAGTGTTTTTATTTGTGGAGACTGAAAAAAAAGCATGGGGAATACAACTGTTAGAAAAGACTTTTGAATGTGTCATTGTAATTAATACAAAGTAATGAATAAAATTTCAAATTAAAGTACTAATCCTAAAGATTTTCATTTGAATAAATGTCTGGTAAGTCATTATAATGGAATGAGGTAACACAATGGTGACTGCCCTGATGAAAGCCATTGTGTTTGCAGTTTTATGAACTGGGTGCCTGCGGCAACAATACCAGGAAAACTCACCAGTGGCATACAGACATTAACCTCCTAAGACCTGGGCTTTGGTTTGGCTTGCATTTTACATTTCTTCTAGCTATTTGGGGTTAGGAGAAACCAATAAAGATAATAACCAGGTATTATCTTTGAACATGAAGCTCTTTTTGAAAAAATTGTATTCACACATGGGGACACTCGGTCTGAGTTTCCTCAGAACACAATCAAGACACCATTGTTTAACAAAGTGCAATCTTTTTTATTTTCAGCCTGAATGCTGTTTTCAACATTTTTCATTGTCACTGTTGCATAATGTAACTGAATGTTACTGAATGTTCTGAACATGGATATGGAAAAACAAAATTTACAAGAAACATGCAGCATATCCTAAAACCTTGACAATTTGCTTATGTTTTGTTTTTACTTTTTTGTAAGAACATTGTTAGGAATGTCCTTTTTTTCTGTGGGAACAGGTGATCACACTTAACCTGTGTGAAAGCCTGTGTAACAGTTGCATGCAGCTTGCAAGCACAAGAACACCTTGCATGTTACACACCGGACTCAAGTTCTCCCAGGACAGCCTGTCGCTCTGCAGCGCACTGCATTCTTCAGGTCGACCACCTCTGGAAGATGTGCATTAGCCCTTCTGCAGAGGGTGATGTGGGGCACTTCCCTCATGGGACGTTTTTTTTCTGGCTCAAAATGGTCTGTGTTGTCTTCCTCCTCTGAGAGGTCTGTACTGTCTTCCTGTACATTGTTATGCTGGGCCAAGAATGTCTTAGCCACTTCCATTCGAAATTCAAGAAATTGCATGATGCCCTTTCTTGGTGTGCGGCATGCTGTGTGGTCTTGGCGGTACAGTAGCCAGCTGTTGGCCAAAGCAACATCTGTAAAGTGCATGAGCATCCGAAGCGTCCACTTCTTGGTAAGTCAAAAGTCAAAGTCTATTTATTTGTTTCCCTTGGGAGAAATATGGATTGGAGACAGGGTACTGCTGCTTTAAACAGCACGAAACATACAAACAAAAATACATAAAAGACAGTAAAACATTCAGCATCTAAAAAAAAAAAAAAAAAAAAGGCTTTTTCCTCTGCATGCTCTTTGTTCTCCAAACAAAGAGAGCTATGTGACACCCATCTCCACAGGAGGTCTCACCTCACACCTCAGTGAGACACAAGTCTCACAACTTGATTGGACAGGACTTTTACAGTGACATGTGACTCTATGATGTCACAGGCCTGCAAAGATCTGCTCCCTTCAAACAGATCTCTCTCTCTTGCTCTACAGCTGCGTAGCAGTGCACACCTCTTTCCGGCTGGGCCTGGAACAGCAGAGGCCCAGACCCTTGCTCCATAGCCCTAAACCACTAAAGGGAGGGCAATGGATCACAGACTCTCTTGCAACACAAGGTTTGCAACTAGCTTTCCAGCAACAAGGAACTAAGTGAGTTAGCACCCAGTGTCTAACTCTGCTAAACCCTCAGAGTTTCACCTTTGGAACAAAGGACCCAACAAAGACTGCACCTGGAACCATCTTCCCAGCCTTCTTCTGCCGGCTAACAAAGCAGTACACCACCAAGTGACTCTTTCTCTCATCCATTCAAGGATCGGTAATGTAACAACTGGGCATAGCTTATCACAGCTTTACAGGCTAAGCAAGACTGTTTAACTTGTTGTATGTGATTTAATGCTGTCATTGAGTTATTGTTGTGATTGTTTGCAGTTAGGTCATTGATTAGTTGGCTTCGCCAAAGCTAAGTGTTTAGTTAGTTAGCACACAACTAAACAATCTCTGCACTAATCCAGACCGTTTGCAACATACGTCACATTGACACAGATTCATTAACAAATAGGCTTTCACCAGAGCTACACCCAAACAGGCATCTCAAAGTTCCTGCTTCTTTTCCTTTGTCCTGACCACACGGTCAGACAAACACCTCCCCTGACCTGAAGCAAGCCTTGATTCAGCCATTTTGGTAGTTCTCTGTTGTCAGCCATTTTGTTTTGTAGGCCAAACGGCTCCTTAATCACCACACCCGCCTTTGTCTTTCTCTTCTTTTTCTCTCTCTCACACACACACACACACACACACACACACACACATACACACCAAGCTTGTATATAGTTAGTTAGAATTTGTGTGTTTTGGTTTGCTTCGCTAGTTTGTGAATAAATATAATTCTTTGGAATCATACCTGCTGTCTGTTTAATGTTGCACAAGAGTGAATGAATAGTCAACCTCTGCTGCGTCAAGAACTCCGAGATCCTTCAGGCGTTACTGTTAATTTTGGTTGTTGTCATTAATTTAATTATTAATCAAAACTCCAAATTAATAGTTTAGCGTATTTTATGAGACTGATATCTTTAACTGGCTATAATTTTTCCCTTTACGGGTATGGTGCCCCACGAGGTGATTTTTGGTGCCGCCGTGTGAGGTAAATATATGTTGATCCCAACACATTTGGTGCCTCCGTGTGAAGCCCTCATGTGTTGACCCCAACATATTTGGTGTCCCTTGGTGAGGCCTAAAAATGTTGACCCCAACACAGTACACCTTTACCAGGACGGAGAGTTTCAGAGAGACGATCAATGACCAAGCCCCCAAACCCAGTTCCCCTGGTTCCTGAACCTGCGCAATCAGTGCATCTGCACCCTGATACAACTCAAAGTCGAGCATGATGCCTTCTGCTAAAGCACAAACAAAGTTTTTCATGCCAACTGGATTTGGCTTCATTGGCAGATATTGTCGATATGGACAAGGTCCTGTCAATGGTATCATCTGCTCATCAATAGAAATGCACTCGGGTCTTCCCTGAAACCTGCAGCCTTTCAGAATGCAGTCCAGAAAAGGCCTCACCTTCTAGAATTTGTCACACCCCCTCAGGTCCTCTGGAATGTCATCATCAATGACCAGCTTTATTGATTGCCTCAGTTTGAAAAATCAGTCGTGTGTGAATCTTTCTGTGATGGCTGGGAATCTTAACGTACTGGACCAGTACATCCAGATTTGTGGGTATGGCACACAGGACATCAAAATTGAGGCACCAAAGAAATGATACACCTCGTCAACTGTTGTGTTGAGTGGGTACCCACTCTGAGCTAGTGCCGTAGCATTGGAGCAGTATACAATCAGTTTCATCAAATCTTTATCAATATACTGGTTCACATAGTCCAGTGCAGTCCAGCCTTCTCTGTCCTGCTCAGTTTCCTCCTCGGGCTCAAACTGGGCTAGGTTTGGTGTCAATTGAGCAGCCCTCCAGCGCACCCCACATCCTGCAGAAATAGAGTCAGAAGGAAAATATTGCAAAGTAAGTTTACACATATCTCCATACATGGGATTCACTGAGGTGTATTGCCAGAGATATCACATAAAGAATTCAACGTGTAAGAACAGGTGGTCCTGGTGTTGGCTCTTCAGAGTCATCGTTTGGGCCATCAGACTCAACCCACAGCGGGTTGACGTCTGGGAATGCATGATATGGCAATGCTACGGTCTGAACGATAACCTGTAGACTGGTGTTGTAAATTAGCCCCTTGCAACAATGACACAACACAGTGCATCTTGTTCTTTGGCAACTGTATGTTTCAGTTCCACTGTTACTGTGATTTTATGTAGAACAAACTAAATCACTGGCTCACCATTAGTTTCACCAAGGAGACGTTTACGTCCCCGGCTGGCCTCAGTGGGCTATGGAATGGGGTCCTCATTCCCACTCCTCTCCTCCTCACTGTTGCTTGGCTCTTGTTGTGGAGGATAGTAATCAGCATCCTCAGACAATTCCTCTACCTCTGAGTTGTCCCCAGCAATTGTCTCCAGTTCTAATTCCAGTGCCTCTGACAGAGGAATATGCTCTGGAAATGATATCATGAGAAAAATTAAATAAGAATCAATGTAAAGTTATTTATCACACATACAATGTCAATTTATTTATGTTGTAAACTATTGTAAAGTAATGTTTTCTAACAAAATCTTCCCAAAATACATTTTCACACTGACATTCTTTGCTAACATTTTTACATTTTCAACGAGGCTGAGTCCCACTGTCCACATGTGTGGATTTTGCAGTATGGTAGATCTTTACTGTTACAAACTTTTGTCAAATTTGCATGCCATATTAACCATACAACACTATTATGTATACCTTAACAAGAATCAACAATGAAATTCTGTTATGTTTTTTACCTTTTTGACGTTTTGGTCGGGTGTGGCCGCCTGACTTTTCTGATGAGTTGGCCGCCATCTTGAAAATACTGTGTGAGGTGTTTTTCTCTTTAGTCACCACCAGATGGCAGTGTAAGTGTCCATGTTTGTGGACAACAGGTTCCAGTTACACAGAATTAAGTATTATAGTGCAGACAACCAAAAATGTGATGTCCACGTATGTGGACGCCAGGTCGTAATCTGCTCTCACACACACCAAAACATACATACATGCACACACACATGCAACTCTTCTATCCTATGGTA